TTTTTCATCCCTTTATTATCTTATTCCTCTCCTCTTCATTGTCTTCTTTCCCTCCAAGGTTAACACAAAAACTTAAACTTTAGGCTTTCCAAGTATCCTCGGAAGCAACCATGGTAGGAACTATAATCTCCTCCTTCCTAACTTTGATTCAAGATCCTAAACATAAGTTTTGGTTACGTTATCAAAAAGTTAGTTTTAGAGGGGTTTATGAAATCCATGAATTTCAATCTATTTGTGGGAAGTTTGTGTTGTAAGAATCATTGGTAGTACTTCCTTAAGTTTAAAATGAATTAACAACTCATTTTCATGGCTTTGATTAGTGCATGAGAAAGGGAAAGCTCACATACAAGAGACAAGGAAAAGTTAACCCTTGGGTGATCCAATAATGTTTTTAGTTATCAAGCTTCAAGGTAACATGATTATAGCTTGTCCATACCACATGTAGTTCATTAAATGTGCCTAAATGGTATGTTTTATTCTTGCAAGCATGTTAGAGTGATTTCATGGCAAGATTTGTAATTGTGTGTTATATGCATGAAAGGTGGTACCTTTTTACATCTAAGATGCCAAATAAGACTTTAAAAACGTTTGCTAGTTTTAGGGGAGGGAATGGGTGAGTTGGGTGTAAATTCGCTCTCAGATAAGAGTATTCTAGTATGTCGGTATCGGTACTGGATAAACAATATCGATATTGTTCTTAGTGAAAAGACAAAATTAGGCTCTTTTATAAGGGAGATATTGATACTCCCTATAGAGGTATCTATACTCGGGGTCTGGTATCGATACTCAGAGGGTCAATATTGAATTATTTTTCAAAATATCAAAGCAAGTTTTAATATTGATACTTAGGTGAGTACCGATACCCAAGGGGTGTGTATCGATAATGCTGGTCTAGTATTGATACCCACTATGATCTATAGTAATTTTGGTTCAATTGTTTTGGGTGTTTGGGCTTGGATGTTTTGAGTCCGTATAAGCTACAAGTATCCAATACAAGTAAAAATAATTAAGATCACTAATTTCTCACCTAGAAATAAAGCAAGTTCGGATGACATAAGATTTGCCTTGTGTGACACTTGGGAAACAGTTCGGACACCCGAGTTGCTCTAGTATTATGAAGATCGTCCTTTGTTTGTAAATATCTTGATATTGTCTGATGGTAAGCATCCGATGCATGTAAATTCTGAGTTGTATCAGTACGAATTTCAATACATGTAAATTATGAAATTGTACCTTACGCTCGACTAGGTTTGAGATGTGTGCTTCTGATGCACGTAAACTATGGACCTCAACCTGAGCTCTAGAGGATCCAAGGTAGACTAAGGGTTATAAGTTTCGGTGCACGTAAATTCTGGTTCTTACCTTGAAGTTATCATGTTTTAGATAGGCTAGCGTGTTATCCGAGATGCACATAAATTCCTCCAACCACACCACTTGGCCTATCTCATGCTCAATATGTACTTATGCATGTTTATGACCTTGCACACCAACATGTTCATGTAACGAAGGCATGTATTAAAGCATAGTTATTCTCGTGGCACTGAGCTTGTGAGCTCAGCGTATGGAATGTGTTTCCATGCACAGGTTAGCAGATGGGACCGTTGAGGAGCCTATTGCATCCATACATTCCAGATCATAAGATTTGCAGAGTATGTCTTGAGTCTATTTTAGAGGGCATGTATTCTATATGGACCTTGTGTATTCGAGTCATAACTCTATTTTCATTTAAAACTCTATGGTTGTATTGTAATAATTTGAAGGACTCATTTATTTTTTAAATGTTGAATTTAATTTATGTTGCAATTATGATAAGTTATTTTGATGTTTATGAATGTTTTTAAAAGAAATTTTTAGGTTGACCATTTCGATGGTTTAGTGTGGCATCGTAATCTATGGATCTTCGGGTCAGACTGGATTAGGATGTTATAGTCAAGGTAGTTCAGTTATTGTTTGGGCGCAAATGTCCTAAGTACTTTTATGGAGTAAGCTGACAAGGTGTATATTTCTGACGCATTTTCGGATCTCACCCAGATACCCAAATATCATAAATAGGCTAGTGGGGTGTGTTTCCCAAGATGCAAACCCTTCGACCACACCATGATGCCTACATCAGCTTGTTGTGTTAGTGTTCTTAAATGTTCATGTCTATGCCTGCTAGCATGCTCAAGTAATGAATGTACGTGTCTATGTTAGCACAGAGCTTGTGAGCTTAGCGTCCATAATTTTTCTTATGTGCACAGGTTCTTAGGAGATCCATCGAGGAGCTTATCGTCGGTCTTTGATTCCAGATTCGTCGAGGCTTTAGAGTACGTCTTGAGTCTTTTTAGAGGACATGTACTATTCATAGACCTTCATGTATTTCATAAGTAAAGTAATGTATTCCAATCGTAACTTTACTTATGAAATACTTGATATGTATTATTTGGGATGTATTGGAAGCTCCCCACATTTATAAACTTAAATATTTATGTTTCCATGTATGGTTTAATTGATTATATATTTGAATGATGTTTTAAAAGTCGTTTTGAAAAGAACGATGTTAGATGAAACCTTAAATAACCCACTTAGTATAATTGAAGTCAATTATTTATTGTTTGATTTCATAGTTCGATTTAAAAAAAACAAAGACAATGTTCATTTGTTAAAGATTAATAGTTTATCTTCCGCTTATGCTTGTGAGTGACCATTATAATTTTCTTAATTAAATTGACATTATTTCACCATGATTTCAAAACTATTAAGGCAATATTTATGTGTTAGGTTAATAATAAATCTCTGCTTATGCTAGAGGTAATAATTATTTAATTCTAAACAAATAAATAGTCTTTTCAAATATGCATACAAAACATATTATAAATTAAATAAAACTTTAAACTTGTAATTTCCAATTTTAAAACAACAGGTAATCAACCAGACACCAATATTGGGTGTTGTGGAGTGCTAATCCTTTCTCACACGTAATCGATTCCTGAACTCATTTTCTGATTTTGTAGAGCAAAACTAATATTTTTAGTAAAATTATTTTTTATTAAAATTACCTAATTTATGTGGTCCAATCTTATTTTAAAAATGATTGTTGATGATTTCCATTTTTATACATCATTTCAAAACCCTTCATAGCCCGAAAAAACCGTTATGACATGCAAGTGTATATATATATATATATATTACATTTCATTTTAATTGTATGTTCAATTCTCAACAATTTGACAATAAAAGTTAAACACTCTTGTAGTCTCTAGTGCTCGAATTTGAGACATTTGAAAATAACAACTATCTCTTTATCCACTAAAATACACTTCCTTTCCTTCTCTATCCGTCTTTTATTTCATGTAGCTGGAAACACAATGGACGTCAAGTTCTGGCCTTCTGAAGTCCACTCTTCCAATCATCGCTCTTCACTTCCTGCTGCTCGTCTCAACTCCGGTACTAAATTTAACTTAATATTTGCTACTACTTTCTTCACTTATTTCTTTCTTTTTCCGTTTTTTTTTTTTTGTATGGTGTATTTTTCTTGTCTTAAAAATACTAGATTATACGTATCGTTAAAGATTAAGAAAAATTATAAACAGATACGCACCTCAAACTATTAAAAAAACATGTTTTTAATCTGGTACTTTCATTTTCATATGATGTTGTAGGGTTTTTAGAGTTTTCAGGAACTGGGTTTCAAGATTAGTAGATTACGCTGGGATTGTGTTTACTTGGAGATTTTTAGGGTCATAGGGATTAGTACACTCCTATTCTATAGAACTGACCACTATGAAATGGAATCTCATCAATATTTGCTCCGAACGCTTTTAGTTCTTAGGCTATTAGGTTTTGTAAAGCTATAACAGAGACTAAAAAACAAACCATATAATGTATTTTGGAGGCTTTAACAAGGATGACTTATTTCCCTGAAGATGAATACCCTTTACTTCCTAAGCAGTATGCGCCATCAAAAGTGAATATGAAACATATGGGACATAATTATTTATGACGGTTGTTGCTTAGTAGGCTGGTTTTTTGCAATCTCTCTTCATCAATGATTTAACATGAGACTTGTATTTACAAGTACGGACGTAGGATTTTATGTTAGAAGACGAATTTATAGAGTTTTAGGAGGGAAGAAATTATAAAATTTTAGGAGATGAAAACATATTTTCAATAGGAAATATAAAAAAAATATTTAAAATTTGTCCTCTAAAACATATTTTCATTAAAGGTTTCTCTCTGTTTTGCATCCCCGTTAAATGTAGTTTGTATTATGTCAGAACATGTTTTTCATTTACCTGGAAATGTTTTAATGTATTGCAGCGAATGGGAAAATCGCAGAAGTCCAGCATCCGGTCCAGTAGTCCTGCTATACTCGGCCAGGAATTGACCTCGTTATTGGATCGGCAAGCGGTGGTATAGGGAACCCAAAAGAATCTTCCTCCGATCTGTTCCTTTGACCTTTACATTGTAGTGCTCCTGTTTCCGACAATGAAACCACTATTGTTTCTAATTTGAAAAGGTATACCCATTTCCATGGTGTGATTATGCTAAACTGCAAACTTCTAAGTTCGAGAAGATGTGCGCTAAGAAGCTGCTTAGGCATACAAGGAAATAGTTTGAGTCTAAGGCCACACGAGAAATGAGTTCGAGTCTACGGCCACACGATGGCACTAGGATTTGGTTGAGACAAGCACAAATGAATGTCACTTGTTCCTTTCTGTTGCAGAATTGAATCCCATTCGTTCGACAAAGATCATACTGAAAAGACGAGGCAAAAAGCTACATTTGTTCAAGAGGTGGTCATCTCAACCATATTCTAAAGTTCATACACACGCATATGATGTAATATGTGTATATGGTCTAGAGTAATTCTATGTATAAAGGCAAAAAGCCACGAAATAAACAGTGTATAAAATACGAATTACGACATGATGGATATTAACCAACTAATTAAGCACGAGTCTGGAGCAAAAAAAATCCAAAATATGAGATTGAAATCAAAGAGGTTCTAAAAATTGTGATGAAACTAATTGCATGACTTTAACATTTGACATATGAAGGTTTTTTGACATCAATGTGGAAAGCAAATAACATTTCTTGCAACGCCAAGTTATCCAAAAATCACTGGATGATCGACTGTATAACACCGGCTCCGACCGTCTTACCTCCTTCTCTGATAGCAAACCGCATACCTTGCTCACAAGCAACAGGCATAATAAGCTCGACTACCATCTTTACACGGTCGCCGGGCATAACCATCTTAGACTCTTCATCCTTATCATTCATAATGGCAGTCACCTTTCCAGTGACATCGGTGGTTCTCATATAAAACTGAGGCCTATAACCTGCAAAGAAGGGAGAATGCCTACCACCCTCTTCCTTCTTCAACACATAGACAATGGCACTGAACTTCGTGTGGGGAGTGATTGTTCCGGGTTTAGCCAAAACCATCCCCCTTTGAATATCCGCCTTTTGAACACCTCTAAGCAACAACCCGACATTATCGCCAGCCATGGCATCGTCTAGTATCTTTTGAAACATTTCCACACCTGTAACCGTGGTGTTCCTAGTTTCTTTCAATCCAACAATGTCGACAGTCTCTCCAACCTTAATAGTACCTCTCTCGATACGACCGGTGGCGACGGTACCACGTCCAGTGATGGAAAACACATCCTCAATGGCTAACAAGAAAGGCAAATCAGTTTGCCTTTGAGGAACTGGAATATAACTATCAACAGCATCCATAAGTTCATAAATCTTATCAACCCATTGGTTTTCCCCTCTTGGGATACTGGGTTTACCCATCAAAGCTTCTAAAGCTAAAAGTGCAGAGCCAGAAACAATAGGTACTTCATCACCAGGAAATTCGTAACTAGTAAGCAATTCACGCACCTCCAATTCCACAAGTTGCAGAAGCTCCTCGTCGTCAACCTGGTCTTGTTTGTTCAAAAACACAACCATGTTTGGTACACCGACTTGTTTAGCCAGCAGGATGTGTTCCTTAGTTTGGGGCATGGGTCCGTCAGCGCCGGAAACGACTAAGATTGCACCGTCCATTTGGGCAGCTCCGGTAATCATGTTCTTGACATAATCGGCGTGCCCGGGGCAATCCACGTGAGCGTAATGGCGGTTCTCGGTTTCGTATTCGACGGTGGCGGTGTTGATGGTGATACCACGGGCGCGCTCTTCAGGGGCGGCGTCGATTTCGTCGTACTTTTTGGGGGCACTGTTACCCATGGAAGCTAAGGCCATGGTCAGGGCTGCGGTCAAGGTGGTTTGCCGTGGTCGACATGGCCAATGGTGCCGATGTTGACATGGGGCTTTTTGCGCTCGAATTTACCACGGGCAGCTTTGACGGTGAAAGAGGAACGGCGACGGGTGAAGACGGAGGTGGTGGTGGAGACGGTGGTGATGAAAGGAGGGAGGAGGGAAGAGGATAGGTGGGCAGGTGTTAGTTTAGAGGAGAAAATGGCGGAGGTGATTGAGGAGTGAGTAGGAGGGAAAGGAAAGGCTTGTGGGTACCTGAGCTTAGAAGATGTTACGGCGGTGGCGGTGGCGGCGGCCGGTGATGAAATTGCCATGCCTTTGGTTTCGGCCTTGGATTGGGGTTTGGGGGATGAACAATGAGGAGGGAGGGGATTTTGGGAGTTGGATTTTATCTTATTCTTGTGGCTTCGGATTTGAGGGTCTGAGGAAGGGGAGGGGAGGGGAGGGGAGGGGCTAAAACGAACGGCTAAAATTTGTTGTTATTTTATCCGCTCCTGCTTCTGCTGCTCGCTTGGGGGTAGTTTTGAAATTTCACTTTATCACTCTCCTTTCATCATATCTTACCATTCCATTTACTTACCTCCTTCCCCAGCAGGCCCATCCACCCATACCCAAATTACTACATCTTACTAGTATCCAATTACCATCACTAGTTTAGGCCTCCAATTTGAGCTGCTTCTTTCGACCGTGGAAGGATCAAGTGTCGGGGTGAGTATTTGATTTATTTTAGTTGATTTATTTAGTTGATTTATTTTTTTTTGAATTAATCGAGTTGATTAATTTTATTTTATAACTTGAATTCTGTTTGAAAGTTTTTTAAATTGAATCAAGTTACTTGAATATTTATTTAAATTTAATTGTAAATAATTATAATCTTATGATACTATTAGATTTTAATTTAAATGGAATTTTATAACCATATATGATATATCATATTTGTTTATATGTAATATGCATATAATGATAAGTTCAATGACTTAACTTGTACTTAAAAATCAATTTAGTAATTATTAAAAATTTTAAATTATTCAAGTTTTATTTTGTAACTTGATTTGAATTTAAATTTTTCTAGTCTAATTTTTTAGCATCGATTCAAATAAACAAATTTTTAATTTTTTTGAATCAAATTTTTCTTACCCTTAATAATTGCATAAAATTTAATTTTTATTTATGTGAATTATTTTATTTTTTAAAAGTATGATATTTTAAATATATATATGTGTTTGTGTGACGGCTAACACAATTTTCTAATGATGTTCTACTGAAAGGATTAAAAATAAATGGGTTAATTACTTCAAATACCACTCATATTTAAGCTCAGACTCGTTTATGCTACTAACATTTTAATTTTATTAATTTTAACATAGATATTTAAGTTTAACTGCAATTATGACAATATGTCGTTAATGGCTTAATGGCACGATGACATGTCATCTTTGGGTCGTGATGTTGCGGACGTGTCTCCCTTACCATAATGATGTTGTTTTGGATCAAATATTTTAATACTCAAAAAGCCCAAACTGATGTAGCTTTGCTTAAGAAAAAAATGAAGGGTAAACTACTAAAACTAGTAAAACACCCATGTTATCTTTTCTTCAACATATCTCTCTCTCGCTCTCTCTTCCTCTTCCTCTACACACCCATTGTCTCTTGCTCTTCCTTGATAACCTAGGGATTAATTCTAAAACATATTCAGAGTTGTGCTTCTTACTCTCTTCTTTCATACCATCTGTGTTGGTGTCAGTATTTTAACTTGGGTTTGTCCACTTCATTTCATTTTATTTTCTCCCCTAGCCCCCTCTACCGATATGTTTAGGTTTCTCCCCAGTATTCATTTTATTTTAACGTGGGTGTTTTATTGGTTTTAGTAGTTTACCCTTCATTTTTTTTTCTTAAGCAACACTGCGTCATTTTGGGTTTTTTTTACTATTAAAATAATCATGCCAAAACAACGTTGTTTTGGTGAGGAGCCACTTCAGCAACCTCACGACCCGGAGATGCCATGTCATCATATCGTTAAGCCATTAACGATAGAGTGGCATAATTACAGTTAAACTTAAACTTTAGTGTTAAAATTGGCAAAATTAAAACTTTAGGCATGAATTTATCCGAGCTTAAAGGTGAGTGATATTTGAATTAGTTAACCCAAAATAAATTTATGAAATTCCTAAACTGATATAAATTCAATAATTTATTTCAACGACAACAGTCTCACCTGCCGAGGAATTATAAGGAATGGCATGCTAATATAAGGTTAAAAATGGCACAACAGAAAATATGTAATGAAACTTAATGAAATAGTACATCTGAGACTGCATCTAATCATGAAAGAAGAACTACTGCAAGAGTTTATCACATCAAGACTGATGATGACAGAGATGCTCCTGAGATTATAGCAGGTTCCTTTTATCTATTTGATGAACCTATGTTTGTATTGATTGATCCCGGTTCTACACACTCATATATTAGTACAAAACTGCTAAGAGATAGGGGAATTTTTCTAGAACCTATTTCTAGGGATATTGTGGCAATCAATCCATTGGGCCATAGTGAAAAAATTTGTTGGATTTGTAACGAATGTCTGATAAAGATACAAGGAGTAGAAATTCCTGCAAACCTATTAGAATTGCCTCTTGAGGAATTCGAAATAATCTTAGGCATGGATTGGCTATCTTCCTACTATGGTTGGGTAGATTTTCGTTTGAAGATATTGTTTTTAAAGGATAAAACGGGTTCAAAGATAATATTTATTGGAGAAAGGGTAAATCCCTTATCCAATGTGATTTTAGCTTTTACTACTAAAAAATTATTGTCACGGGGATGTCAAGCAATTTTAGCAAATGTGTTGGATACCAGAACTACTGAAGTTAAGTTTAAAAGCATTCCAACTGTACGAGAGTATCCAGAGGTGTTTCCAGATGAGCTACCTAGATTACCTCCAGATAGTTAGGTGGAGTTTGGGATTGATGTATTCCCAGGTACAATGCCTATTTCGTTGGCTCCTTATCGAATGGCCCTAACAGAGTTAAGAGAATTAAAGGCTCAATTGCAAGAGCTACTGGATTGAGTATTTATAAGACAAAGTATTTCACCTTGGGGTGCACCGGTGTTGTTCGTGAAAAACAAAGATGGATCAATGCGTTTGTGCATAGATTATCGACAGTTGAACAAGGTGACTATAAAGAACAAGTATCCTCTTCTGAGGATTGATGACTTGTTTGATCAGCTTAAGGGAGCAACAATTTTCTCTAAGATTGATCTTCGATCGGGATATTATCAATTAAAGATTAAAGAGGAAGATGTTCCAAAGACAACTTTCAGAACACGATATGGACACTACAAGTTCGTAGTAATGCCGTTTGGGTTGACAAATGCTCCAGCAACACTCATGGATTTGATTAATCAAGTATTTTAACCTTATTTAGATCAATTTGTGGTGATATTTATTGATGATATTCTGGTATACTTGAAGACAAAGATAGAACATGATGTTCATCTTCGTACTGTGCTCGAAATACTTAAGGATAAAAAGTTATATGCCAAACTATCAAAGTGTGAGTTTTGGTTATCAAAAATTGTTTTTCTTGGTCATGTTGTCTCGGCAGAAGGCATAAGAGTTGATCCTAAGAAAGTTCAAGCAATATTGGAGTGGAAACCTCCAAAGAATGTTACAGAGGTCTGAAGTTTTTTTGGACTTACTGGTTATTATCGAAGGTTTGTGAAAGAAAATTCAATGATTATTTCTCCTTTGACCAAAATTTTTCGAAAGGATATTTCATTTGCTTGGACTAAGAAGTGTCAAGAGAGTTTTGAAGCTCTAAGGAAGATTTTAATAGAAGCACCAATGTTGGTACAACCAGAATCGGGCAAAGAGTATGTGGTGTATAGTGATGCATCTCATAATGGTTTGGGTTGTGTACTTATGCAAGAAGGTAAAGAGGTAGCCTATACTTCTCGATAATTAAAGACGCACGAGAAGAATTATCCTACTCATGATCTTGAGTTAGCAGTAGTAGTTTTTGCTCTAAATATTTGGCGTCATTATTTGTATGGTGAGAGATATCACATCTATACGGATCATAAGAGTTTAAAATATATGTTGACTCAAAAAGAGCTCTATAATTTGATCATTGATTATCATCCAGGCAAAGCAAATGTTGTAGAGATGCACTTAGTCGGAAGACTTTTGCAGCTTTGAGAGCTATGGTTGTATGACTATTGTTAAAAGAAAATGACGCACTATTAGCTAAATTAAAAATAAAGTTGATGCTTTTAAATCGGATAATAGAGCTACAAAAGAAAGATGGCAGATGCTTGGAAAAGATTTCACTAGTAGAAAAAGGTGAGACTAAGGACTTTGAAATCAAGCCAGATGGATGTTTGTATTGCCGAGGAAGAATCTATATTCCACATGATGATAAGTTGAAGAAAGATATTCTTTCTGAGGCACATTATAGTCCACTGGCTATTCATCCAGGTGGGAGAAAAATGTATCATGATGTAAAGAGTCGATTTTGGTGGCCGGGTATGAAAAGTGCCATTTCTTAGTTTTTTGTTACGTGTTTGACGTGTCAACGAGTGAAAGCTTAACATCAGGTGCCTTCGGGATTGTTACAACCAATTTTTATTCCATAATAGAAGTGGGAGAGAGTTACTATGGATTTTGTTACAGGGCTACCATTGACATCAAATAAGAAGGATTCCATTTGGGTGATAGTTGACCAGTTAACTAAATCATCACATTTCATTCCAGTACGAATGGACTACGCCCTGGATAAATATGCAGAGTTGTATATCAAGGAGATAATTCGGCTACATGGAGTGCCAGTATCAATCATATTAACAGGGATCCAAGGTTTACTTCAAGATTTTGGAATTCTTTGCATAAAGCATTAGGTACTCGATTGAATTTCAGTACGACATTTCACCCACAGATGGATGGTCAGTCTAAGCGGACTATCCAGATATTGGAGGATATGTTGAGGGCATGTGTTATTGAGTTTGAAGTATCTTGGGAAAAGTATTTGCCTCTAGCAGAATTTGCTTACAATAACAGCTATCAATCTAGCATCAAGAGGGCTCCTTACGAAGCTTTATACGAGAAAAAGTGTCAGACACCATTAAATTGGTTCGAGTTAAAAGACTGGGATCTGGTTGGCCCTGATTTATTGAAGGAGGTTGAGGATAAAGTGAGGATAATCCAAGATAATCTCAAGATTGCAGCTGATCGTCAGAAGTCTTATGCAAATTTGAAGCGAAAAGAGATTGAATTCAATGAAGGCGATAAGTTTTTCTTAAAGTATCACCTTGGAAAAAGATATTTCATTTTGGGCGTAAAGGAAAATTAATTCCAAGATTCATTGGACCTTATGAGATATTAAAGAGAGTTGG